CCCCAAAACCCCAAAACCCCAAAACCCCAAAACCCCTAAGTTCTGGTTCTAAATTGGGAGTATAAAATAAATCATGGAAATACTAAACTCACAAGTTCTCAAAGATGTATTCTGTGGCAGTGTAGGAGGTCTAGCAGGCACTATTCTTTCGCACCCATTTGACACAGTCAGGATTAGGCTTCAACTCCAATGAAGCATTCAGAAGCAGTATTCTGGAATCTTGGATTGAGGAATGCAAATTTTAAAGGCTGAAAATTTCAGAGGGCTTTATAAAGGTGTCGTTCCTCCCATAGTCTTTCAATCTCCCACCTATGCACTCCTATTTTCAGGCAAAGAGTTTGGAGATAGGATTCTTAATAATTTTGGAGATGAGAGCTCTGACCTGAAGACCTTGATAGCTGGATCCATTGGAGGAGCCTTCTCAATACTAGGTAAGAGTGTAATTTTGATTAAATTTTACTTATTAAAAGAATCATTGAGAGAGTTTTGCCAACAAATAATCAATACTAAAAGTCTTCTTTTGTATCCCTTAAGAATTCTTTATGATGCGAAATCTGATCTTCTTTAGTATCATGTCCAGTTGAGTTCCTGAAGATCAGAGCACAGTCAAACCGTGATAAGAAAATTAATTATTTTAAGCTAGCTTCAAATATGGTGAGAAATCAAGGATTCTTTAGTCTCTACAAAGGTTTTGTATGAAACTTACTCAGAGATATGCCAGGATGAGCAGTTTACTTTGGTATCTTTGAAATAGGCAGTAAACACCTTATTAAGAAATCTGACTCGTTTTGGAAAACCCTGTCATATCAGCTCATTTTAGGAAGTTTAGCAGGAGTTATTTCTTGGATGTCTACATATCCCTTTGACTTAGTGAAAACAATTATTCAAAATTCAGATCAGCACCTATCAATCAGGGAGGCTTTTTATCAGAGCTATAAAGAGCATGGTCTGAGATACTTCTTCAAAGGTATGGGTGCAACTTGCTTAAGAGCTGTCCCAATGGAGACAACATGATTAGTGGTATACTACAATCTTAGAGAAAGAATTTAAATTCTTAAAACACTTTATTCTGGAAGCTTATGGATTGCGGTGGAAAGAATTTATATAATTTTCAATAAGCTTTAATAATCTTGGGGTTTTGGGGTTTTGGGGTTTTGGGGTTTTGGGGTTTTGGGG